CAACAAAGGATGTATAGTTTTCGTCATGTAGTATTAGATTTGTACATTGTTTCAGTTTGTGAACACGTTTAGTGAACACGTTGAACACGTTAAGTACTAGCGTATAACGGTGTCCCGATTTAAACTTTAGGATCAGCTTTTTGTCAATACATGAAATAGCTTATGTTGGTGTTTACGCGCAGATGATGTATAAAAAAAATGATCGTATCAGGCTACGAATTGGGAAAAATTAAATAAGCGCCTCCCCCCTCCCCCCGTCAGCATTTTTTTGTGTGTTTGCGCGTTTTTGTGTTTGCTAGGGGCCAGCGATAAAATCTGTCATTTCAAAACTTGCCAGTACGCACGAACAATTCCCGATTACGCGAGCTAACCGAAAGTTAAACAGCGAGCCGGAGGTTTCCATCCCCTGATAACCCATGGAAACGGTGAGCGAACTGTTTATTTTATTGTATTTTTTAAATAGCACTGGCCGAAATATCAAACAAAAAGTTATTTTTATTTCAGAACCTTCACGAAAACGCGAGGTTATTTCCATTCTCAAGGATTCCCAGCTCTCGGTTCTTGTTCGGTTTCTCGGTTTCCATCGGTATCATAACCTATTGACCGACTATCAGCTGAACGCACAATCTAATTAGCTACCGAGGAACGATCTTAAATTAGATAGGCGGAAACGGGAGCTGGTCAATCTCTGGAATGGCGAAACCCCCCTCCCGGGGGGGTTATCCCCATAATGTCCTATGCGATTTATTCCAGCTCGGAATTAACCCAAGAAAAAAGATGATAGTGGTTGAAATCCCTCATGTGACTTTTTGACAACTGATGAACGCGTGTTTCCGCGCGCGATTTGGCTGAAGCGTGGAGTTTAACAGGGTTCGTACGGGTAATGGAAAACCTGGAAAGTCATGGAATTTTATAATTTCATTTGTCATGAAATTGAAGTGTGGGTCATGGAAAAGCAATACACTTATAAAAGGGCAAAAAGATCAAAAGTTGAAAAAAAGTTGAAAGTTAGAAAACTGGTTTTAATTCCACCAGCACGCATTTTATACGTCATAACGTGGGAAAATACCTTATAGTGTCTATACGGCCAACAGGGTTTTTGTGGTTTTGGTATCTCTATAACATCTAAAAATGCATTCAAACCAAAAAAAAATTAATTACCGTGCTTTTTTGCCATGAAATCAAGCTTTAAATTTCCCGCTTCGACTACGCCTAATAAAGTTGACCGTGTAATGAAAGATTGGTGACGAATGACGTCACTTCAGGAACGTCTCAAAGCTTCATGTTTTTATTTTGCTTGATTGACGACCGCACTGTTTCACCAACTTCGGTTTGTTTGCTTTTTGTCGACGAAAACTCCTAACCACTACTAAAACAACAGTGACCTGAACTAGCAGGATTTAGCAATTCCCGACTTGACGTCACGACCCATTCAGAAACCCAGCCTCTTTTTTTGCACTGACTCACGGTCAGCTTCATTGGGCGTGGCTGAAGCAGGAACTTTAAAATTAGATTTTTGGGCGTTAAAATATCGGAATCCAATTTTTTTTCTTAGAACACCTTTTTACACATTATAGAGATACCAAAACAGCAAAAAAAAAAAAAAAAAAACNAAAAAAAAAAAAAAAAAAAACCCTGTTGGCCGTATAGACACTTAAAATAATAGATTGTTTTGAAAATACTTTGAAAACAACTACTTGATGAAGGTCATGGAAAACTCGGAAAGGTCACGAAAAGTCAGAATTTTAAAAGTTCAAAAGAGTGCGAACCTTAAGTTAAATACTACATAATATATGTAGAGAAATAATTGGAAATCGTTATCTGAAAGAAATCTAGAATACTGCTAAAATACCATCAGATCATCTCCTCCGATTTCAGTGAGGTGACAGTTGATTCCGCCTTTGCCCTCATAAACTAGTACCATAGAAATCTACGATACAATATGATAACTTTATTTATACTTGGTATATGTGTGTAAAAAAATCATTTAAAAGAATTTTAAAATATTTCATGGACCCAACAAATTAGAAATGAAACGTCAGACTGATTAATACTTGACAAATTTCTTGTTGTTCTTCAAGCTATCGTAATTTAACTTAATTTTTACGCGGAATATATATTTCCATCTCTTCCACCAAAGCAACTACAACATACATAACCATGCGTAAACAAACATCAGTGTGATGGTTTGGCCAAGCTTACTCGCATGGTGTAATATATGGACTGACTAGCATTCTTGCGAACGCAAACGAATCAAGTTTCCATGTGTAACCACATAAGGGAAATCACCAGAAGGGAAACGCCAGAACCATAACAGAGATTACAGCTCAGCGTTAGATTCTAGTCTTAGTGGTCGTTAATTCTTTACAATGTTTTGTTCAGGGCCGATGGGAAACGAAGCGGTTGTATTCTCGACCCCAGTCTCCGTAATAATCAACGTGTCATGCTCCCTGTACCCGCCAGCCCCGGGTTGTCCCTCGGGAACCACAATCATAGGCTCCATAGTAATCACCATTCCGGGTTCCAATACGGTATCCACGTGCTCAAGAAACTCTAGACCCCAGTCTCTCCCATAGTAGTGAGAAAGAATGCCTGTAGAGTGGCCATACCCGATGACACGGTACTGCAGAATGTTGTGTTCCATGTAAATTTCGTTGAGGTCCCGTGCGACATCACTGCAGCGCTTGCCTGGCTTAACTATTTCCAATCCCCGGCGATGGACCTTGTTGTTGACTTCCCACAGTTCCATGTGGCGGTCTGAAGGCACGTGATCGTAGAAGAGGGTGCGCTCTAAAGCTGAGTAATTGCTATAGGTGACGAAAAAAAAAAACACACACACACACAAATGGAAAATGCGCAAATTTTTCGAAATATCGAACCATAACGTAACTTACGTACAACAGAAATGCCCTGATTTAGATACTGTCAAAATAAAGGTTTTAATTCCAAAATAATTCTACCAACCATTAACAGATTAATATCCTCGAATAGAATTAAACTAAACCTCTCTGTGCTGGTAGATAAGAACCAACTGATCTTAGGGAAGGTCTGCCTGAGATTCTTTATTTTTAATTAACGAATTTCTTGCCCTGTTTTTTGTTGTCGTTGTTTTTTGGTGTTGTTGTCCTTTCTTTCGCTTTGTCTTTGTTTGTTATTTATTTTTTCTTACCAAATATAAATAAAACTGCTCAATGCCGAGGGTATTTGTCCTTAGGACACAAGACGGACAAGTAAGAACAGTCTTCTGATTGCTGCTTTAAAGGCCAAAAATCAAGCATCTAACGATGAAATTAACAAACCCTGCTATCATAGGAAAACAGTTCAGACTAAGAATGTCTCCTTTTTGCACCCGCCTACTTGTAGGAAAGTTATGTGCTCCGTCTGTATTGATTCCTGACTGTAACCAAGACCAGGCTGAAAATAGAAAAAAAAAAAAAACGTTACAATTTTTTATCCCTGAGACAGGTAGATAACAGCAATAAGCACACGGTACGTTTCCAACACCCAGGAGGAGGAGTCATGTTTTTAGCTACAATCATGGACAAACGTCCTTGGGATACTGATGTAATGCACTGACAGTATGTGTTTTACGACTGAAGGTTAAAAAAGCGCTGCTATCCTTAAAACGCGTTGCTGTTGCCCCCTCCCCACCCAATACAATGTCGAAACTCAGAAGAATTCACAGGAACTAGTTTTCAACATTGTATATGGGGTAGGGGGAAGGTTAGGCAGGTGAAGTTGTATTCGCTTCTGGCGTGAACGCAAAAGCCCCAAAAGCGCAAATTTGTCCCAAGACTTTTGTCCACGATGGTAGGTTTCGGTAGACATGCTTAGGTCTGGTGTAATAGAATCTATGGATTGTAGAAACGTGTGATGGCTCATTTGCGCCAGTGCTTGAACAAAGATTTGTGTAGCATGACTTGATCAGGGGTATTACTACATTACTCTACCTGCACGTCTCATAGTCATCGCAGACCTTTCATCTCTCCCCTCCCAGTATTTTATCAGTTGCTCCGATCTCGTGTTGAGAGAAGTACTGGATGGTTTCATTGTTGCTGGAGTGCAAAACGCAAGTAGGCCGGCAGGGCTCCAATCCACACCACGCAATCGGCAGTCCAACATGCTAAACACTAGGCCATCGCATGTCACACAAAAAAATAAATACTCATTTTGAACTCAAGGAAGATTCAAAACTCACTGTCTCTAATGTCAATGTGTGGGTAGGTTGCCGCTATTTCTCGTACCATGGTGCTTGTTGAGGCAAGAGTTACTTCGTATTCTGGAACACCCTCATGAAGGGCCTTTATCGCGGCATACGCCCCGAGCTCCGCTATTCGGGAGCCCTGGCGTACAACTTCAATTTCTTCTGGGGACTTAACTCGACGTATCTGCATAGCCGCGTCCGCAATGTCCACAAACTTGGCCTGCGGTAAAGCCTCGGAGAAACTTTTGAAGGACGCTCCCATATCCGGGAATTCGAAACCCACTGTCTTTGCAGATTGTAACTGATGATTGGAGAAGATCATGGATTAGTGGCAATTGATTATTTTCAACTTTACTCAACTATTTCACGAACGAAAACAATGGTTTGGTACCTGTTGTTGAATAGCGTGATAAAAATTGTCCTTGTGCCAGTTGGTGTAGCTGATGTTGTCACAAGTTGTACGTCTCCATGGATACCCATAGTCAACAGCTGCAAACAAGCAAACGAACCTGTTAATTTCGAACAACTGGAGAAACGTCTGATAATTTCTGAAACTTCTCTAGTTCCAAGTTCTAGCACACAGTCAATTCGCTTCCCTCGGGGGGTTGGGAATAAAGGGGTATGAATTTGTCAGACAAGCTCATACACCTCGTATTCTGGAACACCCTCATGAAGGGCCTTCATAACGGCATACGCCCCGAACTCCGCTATTCGGGAGCCCTGGCATTCTTTTGTTAATGTCAAAGTTATTTTTCAAAACACCCGGCGCATCAAATCCTTCTTCCCATACAAGGACCGTCTCAACCGATCACAATTATCCAAAGTCATTTATAAAGCTAGTTGCTGGGACTGCAATGATTTTTACATTGGGAAAAGGAAGCAAAGACTCCAACAACATTTCAAGGCCCTTTCGAAACATGATCACTCTTCTGCTATTGCTGATCACGTTAAAACAACTGGTCACAACATCAAATGGGACCATTTTGACATTT